AGGAATGAGTTACCCTGTAGCTGGGATAGGGTGAGGAGAGGCGCACGCATATCTTATCACAGCTGCCTGGGTGCGCGGTAGTGGATGAAATCCAGGGTATCTAGGGCACTTTGGTTCTGTGATGTGCCCTTGTAGGAAGTGAAATAACTTTTATGACCTTGATATTTTATCATAAACGCCGGCTATTTTTATTCATGAAAGGATAGCGAGCAATAAGCTTGCTTTTTAATGGTACTTCGTAATGTTTTATAATGGCGCTTCCAGGTGATTGCTTCTACTTCTCAATTTACTGAAGTATGTTCATCGGTAATCATCCGTAGCAGGAGAAGACCACAGAGTGGTTCTGAGGCATACATTTGCTCTCGCGTCTTTCTTAGGCAACTGGTAGAGGGACTTGCATAGTCTGTATGGGCATAGGAGCTGGATGCAGAGGGAAACGGCATTTACAGCAGTACGTTTTGGAAAGGTGATGATCACTGTTGCTGTAGGAGAAAGGGTGCCTTCTATAATGTGTGCCGCAGAGACAGGTATGGTATCATAGAATCATAGAATGTTTTGGGTTGGAAAGGACCCCTAGAGGTCATCTAGTCCAACCCCCCTGCAGTGAGCAGGGATACCGCTAACTAGATCAGGTATCAAAGCAATATAAATGAGAAAGATGGCTTGATCTCAACTGGTTCTGTGGCTACCTGATCCTGAGGGTTGGAGGTTCCTTAGTGCTGAAAGAAGAGGGAAGAAAAATGTTCTTCAGTGCCATGGGGCACCTCTTGGCAGTGATGAGCAGAAAAGCAGCATGCTGTACCTGGAGTGGTGGACAGCATGGACAGCCCCGCTGAAAGCCATTTTTTTGGGGCACTGGAACTTGTAGGATGTCTGGAAGCATTTAGAAGGGTTTAGGAGAAAGCTCCTGTCACCCGGTGTTGGCTATGGGCTCACCACTAAGTGCAGATGATGACAATTTAAATACTGACATAGATTTACATGTGCCACTGACCTGCCCTGGCACTATAGACCCTATTGTGTTAGAGGTGATTTGTCAGAAGAGCAGAGCGTCTCAGTGGCATGAGCTGTATGGTTGAGAACCACAGAAACAGGACCATTAATAAAAAGCCATCCAGAGGTCACCTGGGGCCCTTATCGCCCAGGATCCTTCTGTAGTCAGTGGAAAGGGAAGTGTGGCCCAAGCAGAAGCCTAATGTGTCTCTTCTGCCTGCCCCAGAGGACCCTCCTCTTGACTGACTGTACAATGAGTTCAGTGTGAGGAGTTTTCCTAAACTAAAATTAGCTTTTGTGAATCCTCTGTGAATTCTGTGAGTTCCTGAGAACCTCCACTTCTTTAGTAATGTCTGTGTTTCTCTTTCAGGGGCTGGAATGGGCATGACTGCTCCTGTCTCCATCACTGCTTTT